TGGTGCTGGTGCTGGTGCTGGCGCTGGCGCTGGCGCTGGTGGTGCTGTTGTGGTGCTGGTGGTGGTGCTTATGATGATGGTGATGGTGATGGTGATGGTGATGGTGATGGTGATGGTGACGGTGATGGTGATGCTGATGCTGATGATGGTGGTGATGATGGTGATGGTGATGGTGATGGTGATGGTGATGGTGATGATGATGATGATGATGATGATGATGATGATGATGATGATGCTTCGCGTTGGCATACAGTGGTGCTGGATGGTGCTGAAGACGATGATGGTCATGACGGACAGACTGCGCAAGGTTGAGCAGGCTGAAGCTGCTTCATGCCGAGAAGCGCTGTGATAAGCCGCAGGGCCGCAAACACAACGACCACAACATAAAGTAGGCAAGGTATGGCAAAGTACACGCTCACGTCGTCCACAAGAGGTCGAATTAGTGCTGGCCATCCACCCGAAAATGTAATCTCGAAAAAGGTGTACATGGCACGAGTGAAGCTGCCGTATGTTTTCAACAGCATCTCTCGAACATCTCTGCTTTGTGTTGAATCCACAATAAAGCCGAGACAGGCCTCGCATAAGATCAATGATGCGATCATCATGCATACCAAAAGCATCATCATCGACCAAAACAGAGCCGACAGGCTCGCGCGAAAGACGTCCACCATACCTCGGCTCAGTTCGACAGAACTCACCCATGTTCTGAACACTGCGCATGACATCTGAGCTATGTCTGTCTTGCTCTTGATGTTGGTGATGTTGCAAACCGATTGATCACGCCCGCTTTGACAATTTGACCGACCCACATCACAAAACCCGAATAGACCCGGCCCATTCCCGTGCAAAGATTGCAGGTTAGCACGTTCAACCCGCATGTTTTTGCGGGTTGTTTTGAAGTCATGACTGTGTCGCGGCGCTTCACCGTGAGCTGAGCTCAGCCTTTGAGCAGGAGCGATCTGGTGACCAAGATGCAAGCAGACCGAATACATGTCATCCTGAAAAATGCAGGATGTTTTTCAATTTTAGCAACGTGCAGCGTTCTTCAAAAGAAGACGCATGGCAAGCGAGCCTGTAAGACCTTCGCTTGGCGGCAAAGAATCAAGATTTAAGGAAGGCTTTTGGTTCAATGCACCGCAAGTATCTCCCGTTTGCTGGAGAGGACGGCGATAAGGCTTCTCGGGGTCCATACATCATGGCGCAATACGTGGCGCTCGGAAGCCACTTAGCCTGCCGGAATGCCGGACAAAAGCCCGAAGATCAGAGATACCTTGAGATAGTTTCAGAGCGCCATACAAGTGCAGGAAATGCGCTCTTCAGCAACTTTCAGCAACCAACCACACCGTCCAGAAATCACAGCAAGCCTACACCTAGATTCCGAAATAAGAATGCGCAACAGATGCTCCAAAAGTGCGCGACAAACTTGATTCACACATTTGGGAATCATTTGGGTATTTTCGAAAGGATGAAAAAAGGATCTGCTAAGATTGTGTAAGCTAAGTTTGTCAAATGTGTTCAGATGCGACAGGCGTGGTTGGCGAATATAACTCTGGCAGGGAGGTACGTGCCATGCGATGCGAGGAGCACGTCAACATGGTGAAGAAAGAACCCACGCTGCAGTGGCCGGGACATCTGTCAATGCGCATGGGCAAAATCTGTATACACGCGTTGTCAGGGGCTGTCTTTGCACATCCCTAGGCATTCAATCCGCACAACATGTGCAAGGAAGCCAAGTTGTGTGCAAGTGGTCGATACCCCTTCTGGCTCTTTCCAAGATGTGCCAAGAGGCTTCTCAGCTGACTGAACAAATGCATGACCTTGAATCATACATGACGTGCTCATCAACCTGCCCGTCGTGACACAGCTAGACTCAAGTTCTTCAATCATCTTCAATCGCGCCTTCCGATGAGATCGTTTGATGCAGAGCTCAGTACTATATCTTCCACATTACACCTTGCAGTTCCATCTCAGCCCGCTTCAAGATCACGGGCCTAATAAACAGGGCTGCTTCTAACGCATGACACCTTGTTTTTTTTCTTCTGGAAGTAAAGTACAGGCGCCAGACACTTACTCCTATACCGTTACCGGGGTATTATGCCGTTGTCTGACCTGTGTCAGTCTCCAGCTTTTGGAATACCTGGAATGATTCCATGATGCGATTGGTACGTGCAGCCAAGAGACCCGGACCAAGCGCATCGTCTTTACCTCTCTGCATGGCCAAGAACTTCCGGTTTAAGCTTGGGGAGGCGGACGAGGACTGCGCTAAGCCTCCAACAACTTTTGTGATTCTCAGGAGCCGGACAAGTTGTGTGCTTGCGTAATTGTCTCCTCGCATGCAGCTCTTAGATCGCAGAACGTAGAAGCACATCAAGCGGCTCTGAAACTCGTGACACGAACGTGCTGGCACTGTTCAGCCTTGACAGATGTATCAAGTTGCCGTATTCGTTCTAGGCCCAGGCTTCAATGACTCCAAGATGTCAGGCAGTGCCGAGGTCCTCGGAAGCCTGCTAGCAGTACTGCGTCCACCACACCAAAGCCGACCAACATAATGTCCTCAGCAACGCCGGGCTAAGCGAGGAAGAGGCCAGTCACTACTCATAGCCGTGGCCGAGCAGCAAAGAAGTTTCCTTAGTCTGGGCAGCTGGCTAATCGACTAATCGACCGGTAAAGGTGCAGCTTCGGGGCCCCACATGTAGCCCTCTTCTTCCGTGTAGTACCATCGCTTTCGCAGGACCCCGATTCTGATCGCCATCTCGCAAAGATAGAAGAAAAGGAAACAGTACTCAGCGACTTCAAATGCCTGGGCACCACGTCTGGTTGCTAAGGTGGGTGCGCTCTCAACGAGTCACGGTAGCAGTGAATGATGAAACACAACCGGATGTCGTGGGCGAAACCAAGATCTTGCCACACGCTCTGACTCTGCTTCACAGAGCTTTCGACTTTTTCGACTGCCAAGGGGCATCAGATTCTATTTGACTGATCATGAAGGAACCAGAGGCAGCTTCCATAGCCAGTGCCCCACTGGCAATCGATCCCTTGAGCTGCTGCTCCACGATGAGCACCTCAAGTACTGGATCGCTTCTGCAAGCTGCACGACATCACAGGGGTCTGTTTTGCGCTCCTGCTTCGCTCTGTCTCGCAGGACCGCGGCTTCAACACATAGCACAGCAGCCAACCCTCCCTCTTTTCCAAGGCACGGCAGCATTGATCAAGATGACAAAACCAGCCAGAAGATCCTTGGATGTCGAATCAAGCCCGAAAACTGGTGACTCCCAAGGCACATTCCTGGACTGCTCCCTCAACACGACTTGGTTTAGTTTCGTCGAATCAATCTGGCAGCGACTGGGGCCTTCCCGACGCACCACGCGATTCTACTACTTCGGCAAATGCAGTTCCTCATTCAGGAGCCCATGGCTTGGGGTGTCTGGGGCTGTCTGAGAGCAGCTCCAGGGGACCCTCCTCAACGAAGCTGTGCAGTTTCTCCATCCTCGTCAGCTGCTTGAGGATCCTCGTCTTGTGAACACGAGCCTCCGAAGCATAGGCAAACAACAGGCAGCCACTGCTAAAACCACGATCTAGCACAAACATCGCGAGGACTCGCATATCTCCGCACGCACCACTCACTTGGGTTACATGTTGGCCTGCCTGAATTCGCGAAGCGATCCGTGACTTACGCAATGACGCCTTCCAGCATGTCGGCTTTATTTAGATAGTGCAAAGGATGCTCAGCTCACAGCAGCTTTGGCGTAAAGGCTTTGCCACCCTAACCAGAGAATCCTACCTCCGCTTAGCTCTAAGCTCTAAACCCCCAGAATTCGCAAGCGAGCACTTCCTACGGCTAGGCTCCCAAAGTCCCTACTAGATCGTCTTCGACTTGGCACGAAAGCCTTCTGGTACTGCTCTCTCCGAACGCACGCTTTGGGATATAACCTTCAGTCATGCTGGTGTCGCGAATGATGTCAGCCTGCCTACGCGCAGTGTCTTTCAGCACTGGTCGCACACCCGTGTTTTGCAGTCAGGCATCGCCAAGCCCTGAAGTCCTACAGATACGAAAGCTTCAATCGCAAATTGCTTAGAATGAGCTTTGGTGGCCTTCCGTGGGTTGGCCATTCTTGACGTTTCTGGCCGAGTAGGGGGGGAGGGGGCGGGCACCTGGCCTGTCACTGCAGCGTTCGGGTTCTGAATCTGACATCTGATGCTTGTCGTCTGACAGTTTTCAGTGATTGCTGCACGGACAAGAAGAGCAAATACAGCAGAAGCTCCGTAATCTACCCGTGGCTACATGCGCTAGGCACAGTACCACACTGTAGAACGAGTTGGCCGGAACTGGTTTCTTTGCATGTACATTTGGGGCTACGTGGTTCACCGCACTTTCCGTGATAACCTGCACACCCTACAGGAAAGCTTGCGCGCTGGCAAGAGCTGGCAAGTGCCCTTTCACCCGAAAAACACTTCTTCCAAGCACTGCATTCATGCTTTCAGTACGCCTCTTCATGGGCAGTCGCAAGAGCCGGCTCACGCACTTGAGGCTCGATCGCTGCACCCTGGACCAAGTCCTGTAGGCGCAAGTCATAAAGCAGAGAGAATTTAGGAAGCAGGCCAAGCCGGCCTGCTTGCGAGTTCCTACGCCCGCATACTGTTCGATAGCTGGAATTCGACGTCTAAGTGGAATATTCGAAGCCGTTCTCCGTCCTGCAGTCGATCGAGCTCTTCCAAGCTGACTTGCGCAGCAGCTGCCTCTGCTAAGGGATCCTTCGCCTTGCAGCAGAGGCCAAAAAAGACATGAAAACGACATCTGATGACTGCTTGGACGCCTCGGCCCTGGGAGTGATCGATATCTCGCCCTGTGCTCCTGTGATGCTAAGAGCAAGCGACTGCTGGGCATACAGAAGTGCTCCGCGCTGTCCTTTCGCGCCGTGATGAAATCCATCGCCGTAATCAGGCTCGTCTGGCCATGCCACAGGGAAACAGAAACCGACAAACAATCACAGACTTGATCTTCTCGGTGTTTAGGCGATGCTTCAGGAGTCCAGATGCGCCCCGCAACACTTCACGGCAAATGACCCCGCGATGCAATCGAGCAAACCGAGATGGCACCGACCGTTGATATCCTGAAGCCCCTCCGTCTGACTACGTATTCTGACTCCCTCTAACGGAAGAAGTCACGTCCAACAAGAATGCAAAAGACAGCTCCATGCAGCACTGGACTGGAGCACATGCGACACGTTGGCGTGTACGCCGATATGTTGCACACGTGTGCACTCCGAACGACTCGACAGACACACGGCATGCAAGGACAGCGTGCTCGGGCACCAGCACGCCGCCAGCCACGCAAGGCGTCCAGGGCAGCCTGTTCGCAAGCCCGAGCCCTGTAAAGATGAAAATATGGCGACAGCTAAATCGCCACCCGCGGATCAGCTCAAGGAAGTGTCAGGCAGCCAAGTCCCGGAGGCCTGCTGCTTTTGCAGTGAACGCATCACCAGCGCGTGGTGCTCACGAATCATCGCCTTGAGGGCGTCAGAGCTGAGATCCTGCGCTTGGAGTCCCCTTGCACAGCTAAAAGAAAGGCGGACCTCATAGTTTAGATAGTTTCAGCCTACATGTGGGCAAGTTCGGCAACCTGCCTCGCAAGTCTCATCCTGCTCACCAGGTGGTCGACATTGCAGAAGGCACGACATGGGAGACAAGCTATCAGTGCTATCGGTGCCATGTTTGGGGCTCTGGACTTTTGCATTACGTCCACTATCCAGGAAAACAAGCTCCTTCTGGTCAACTTGCGATCGGCCGATCGGCTTGGTAAGCTGCCACATCAGCTTGGCGCGGCACAAGATTGCAAAAGCCAGCTGCTCCCTCTGCTTCCTACGAAAAGATTTCCTGCCAACCTCAACGAAAGCGTTTTCATCGCCGCAAGGGGCTGTGCAGCTTGTAGCGGAAGCTGTGCCTTTGGCAAACTTCGCCCTCCAGTGTACAGGCCACCGTACGCGGATTGCCTGGCATGCCTAGCTTGCATCTGCTGCACTTTGATAAGTGGACAGGGCCTGAGGATTCTGCGATAAATTCCGAATTTCAAAGCGGCCCTTTCGCCACTGCTGGAATCCATGCACGAGTCGATCGATGCAAACGTTAGCGCCTTGAAGCTGTGCTGAGATGCTTGGTCTCTTGACTGCAGCCCGCATCGATCCTCTCTGATCCACTGTGGATAGCATGTGCGTGTCCTGCAGATCGTTCCGAACAGGTGCCTCTGAAAAGCTGTGATGCCCGTGTCGATTTTGAGGCGATTGAAAGCCAAGACGACATGCTGGTGCTCGAGCGCTGCTACAGACTCAGCCGAGTTCCAGTTCCACCTGGGGCAGTGATGAGCTGGCGAGCAGAGCCGCATGCTACGAACTCGCTAAGAGACCTTGCGAAGCTTAAAAACCAGCTTCCAGAGAGCCCCATGGCCCATAACTGCACTTCCTGTCATAACAAATCGCCTGAGACAGGGCCGCAGTCGTCGCCATCTGACTCGATCCGGCCCAAAGGCGGCTCGCCGGTCATCTCCATCTCAACAGGACCTGTGAAGCCCAGCTGGGTCCAAGATGTCTACACCAACACGCTCTCCGCGACCATAGTCGATTCGATGACTCGACAGCCAAGAACCAGACTGACAACGCTTTCGACCTCGGTATCCGCGCAGCTCGCACCTTGCGCTCGGTGCCGGAACATGCCGGAACGTGGTCAGGTACGAGAGCAATTTGCAGTACATACTACCAGCAACATAAGCAACCTCGCAGACAAGCGCTTGAACTTGAGGCAACCTGCCTCGCCTTCTTGTTCCTTTGCTGGTGGAGCAGTTGGAGCAATGGCGACGAAGTTCTGGATACCTCAACCGGCGCTACTCCCTATGGCAAAGCCTCGATGATCTTCAGTCAGGTTCAGCAATTCAAGCTCCATAGGCTTCATTTACTGTCCAGGACGTGTTGAATATGAAAAAACACAATTTCTCAACAGAAACTGGGTAATGGAACCAGCACCGGAGGTCGGCAAGGGTCGCCATGATGATTGCGATGATGATGCCAATGAGAGCGGCTGTTGATCAGGAGGCGGAGGAGGAAGAAGAAGAAGAAGAAGAGGAAGAGGAGCAGGAGGGGGAGGAGGAAGAAGAAGAAGAAGCAGAGGAAGAGGAGCAGGAGGAGGAGGAGGAGCAAGAGGAAGAGGAAGAGGAAGAGGAGAACCGGATCGTGATGATGAGCATGAAGATGAGGATGAGGGCAGCTATGAGGATGAGCATGATGCTGCTGCTGGTGCGGGTGAACATGGTGATGGCGTGAGGATGACGACGACAGTGATGATGGTGACGATGGTGACGATAAGGGTTAGGGTGAGGATGATGGTGGTGATGATCAAAGTGATCATGACGACGATGACAATGACGATGATGACGAAGATAACGATGACGCTGCCGCTGCTGCTGCTACTACTGCTGGCGGCGGCGGTAGCGGTGGTGGCGATGCCGATGCCGATGCCGATGACGATGACGATGACGATGACGATGCTGATGACGATGCTGATGGCGATGATGATGATGATGATGATGATGATGATGCTGATGCTGATGATGATGATGATGAAGACGATGATGACGGCGGCGGCGGCGGCGGCGGTGGCGGTGGCGGTGGCGGTGGCGGTGGCGGTGGTGATGGTGATTGTGATAGTGATGGTGGTGACGGTCATGATGGCGATGGTGATGGTGATGCTGATGATGATGACGACAATGATGATGACGACGATGAGAATGAGGGAGGGTTGGGGAGTGCCAAACCGGCAAATTTGGAGGGTGGCGCCAAAGGTCCGCAAATTTAAATCTGCAGCTGAGCCGGAGCATGATATCTAGCGACCTTGCATGGCGGATCGCGCTTCGATCTGCTGGCAGGAGGCCGTTCCAAGTGTTGAGGGCTAGGTCTTGTTCCGGGTCCGGCCCCGACAGGCCTTCCTCAACTTTCTTCCGACTCCAGCCCGACATTCGAGCGAAAGACTTCGCACCTCAGCGAGCCGGCTGAAGTGCTGATAACATCTGGTAGGTCATGCGCGGGCATGTTGACGATGCTGTTATTGGTTCATGGCTTTGTGTCCAAGGGCACGGATGTCATGACAAGATGCGCTTTCAACATGTACTAGCTACTGGCCAACAGAGGTACTAGTCAACTGCATCCGACCTCTACCAGACATGCGAGCATCCTGGGAGCCTTGAAGATTGACGGCAAAACAGTCTAACTGTTTGCGACAACTGCGGCTTGAGAACTTACCCGGCGCGTGAAGTCAAAGTCGGGATCGTCATCATGAAGAACCTGAAATCATCCCATACTATCTCACGTCATGTTGCTGGTGGAACTCTGCACCAGTGCGGCCTCCTTGGCCAAGAGCGTGATGCAGCGGGAGATGTGTGTCACATCATACACGGCCAGCTCTTTGACCTGAAGCAGTTCCGAGCTCATCCGAGCTCAGCGTTTCTGCTCAGCTTCGTAACGCCAAGGCATGTCAAGGCTTTAGAAAGCAGCCACTTCAGGCGCAAGTTTGCCGAGCTGCTCGAGTCTCGATGACATCAGCATCTGCCTGTACAGGGCACGGGCCGCGCTGCCCGCGCTGCCCGTGGTCCGAGTCCGGCCACTAGGACAGTAGTGGTCACCAGTGACGAAAACCCTCCACGAGCGGATCACGATCCAAAGTCAAAGTCTACACCCTGCTCTCCCAAGCGAGCCTCGGACAACTCCATGCTCAGACCTCGAACGTTTAAGCTTGCGTGCTTTGAGCTTCTTTGCAGTCGGTCCAAGGCGGAGACTCCGCAAGGCTGAAGATACCTGGGGCTTTTGCTGACCTACGGTGTTGGCTGCAAGCTAGCTGCAGCCGGGTCACGCGTTCGGCCTTGGGAATCGGCCCGAGGGTGACGATCATCAGCTCCTCCTCGGAAGCGTGTGCGGGTCGGGCCACGGGCGCGAGCGCAGCGAGCGGCTTTGGCGCCTGAAAGCCAAGAGCCCGGAGCAGCAAGGAGAAACCTCGCGGAGAGTCGGTCGCACTCCGCTCCGGTCGAGACCGTCGCCATGGCTCGGGGCCCGGGCCGATGGAGCCCAGCGCCAGCAGCACGGAACCGAAGAGCAGCACGAGGACCACGACAGTGAAGGTGTTCCGGAATCCAAGCATGTCATCTGCAGGGATGCAGACATGACGTGATCAACATCGATCAACATTCCACCTGCTACAAGTTGCGGTGGTGGTACTGACATGTACATCGCGGAGTATATACTGTGCCTGTGAGATCCGGGAGACACATTGCCGCAGAGACAACAAGAAGGATGATGCAGGCGGAAATCCAACCTGGGTATCGGCTTGATCAGTTGATGCAACAGAATCCATCAGAACGTCCTGTCAAAGCGTTGTCCAGCCACTTGTGGCGGGGAGCAGTCCAAGGCATTGATCAAAGGTGGCTTCCATGGCCAAACCAGGGCTTGCGCAGCCATGAAGAACACCAAAATCACGGACATTGACACGATCCTCGGTTAATGCCATCGAGAATGAAACCAAGCCAAGCAGTCCGCACAATTGTCCAGGCAACTGAATGGGAGGGTAGTCCGTAGCAAGGACCACCGGCAGGTTCAGCAAGGAGCCACGGACAAGCAGCGGCACCCCATACCACCAGCCATCCAAGCGGAACCGCGCAAGCAAAAACCGAAAGGAGCTGACCTCGGCTGATGCCACGTTTGTTCAGGGCCCCGGTTCTTCGTCATGTTTGTCGGCTGAGGGACTCTGTGGGAAAGGCCTTGGGAGCTCCAAAGCGGCACCTCTGCTCGCATCTTGAAATCTCCGTACCATCTCGGCTCTCACGAAAAGTCCACGCCTGGTAGGCCGCCCACACGCAGAGGCAGAGAAAGCCCAGAACACCGAAAGCCAGCAATGCCACACCTCCAGCCTTGGCTTCATACGCCCCATCAGCCACTCTACTTAGAGGAACAACCATCGCAAGTGCAGCTCTCAATCGCGACCAGCAGCAAGCATCACGGAGTGTTCTTCTGTCCCACAGAACCTTTGACACCAAGAGCGAACTGGAGGGCAACGCAATCCTGGCTTGACGGCTGAGTCAGTGGGTCAAGCCGAGACGCACTTCCGGAAACTTCAGCAAGCTGTGAAGGCCGTTTGGATGACCTCAATCTCCGATCGCTTGTCGGCCGCACTTGTCCGTCAGTGCGATTTAGAATGCCCTTCCCTTGCCCAGCCGCTCCATTCGACAGGCAACTGAGGCTCTCTCTGTAGCATGTCATCGGCACCATTGCGGTCACACTCATGGTTGTGTAACCTTATACAGCTTAGATCCACCGCCCGACGGAAGCCTGCCAAACACTGATGTTTAAAGCCCAGCCGCCCATTTGCAAGAACTGCCCCATGAGATTTAAAGTCTTGGAGGTCTTCCAGCGCCACTTTTTGGGCAGCAGCTTTGAAATTGCGAGACCTCTGCACAGCTGATCACGCGAGGAGCGATTGCAGCCGTTTTCGAGGCTGAGAGCTGCACAAAACAGGATGCCCACTATAACCGCAGGGAAAAGCATCACTGTGGACAGGTACCGCCGAACAGCATCGCTGCTGGCCACGCACGGGTAGCCTCAGGCCAGCAGACACACAAAGCGCTCTGCATGCATGCTCTGTAAAA